GTGTGTTGCTTCGGTCAGTTGTGGTGAAGAAAGTGTTGTGTCAAAAGGAAAAGCTCTGGATTTACTGGTCTGTCTACAATCCAACCCTCATCTGTGGTCATGAGGTTTGAATCATGGACCTTAAAAAACGAGATCCTGGATACAAGCTGCCAAAATGAGCATAGGGTGGCTGACTTCAGCCTTGGAGATAAGGTGAGGAGCTCGGAGTAGAGTCGCTGCTCCTCTGCATCAAAAGGAGTCAGCAGAGTTGGTTCGAGCACCTGATTACGATGTCTTCTGGACGCCTCCCTTTTGAGGTTTTCCATGTACAACCCACTGGTAAGAAGCTCTGTGGAAACCCCAGAACTCACTGGAAGGATTGTACATCTATTTTGCTTGAGAACGTCTTGGGATCCCAAGACAAGAGGAGCTGGAGAACCTCGCTGGAAAAATGGAGGTCTGTTTTTTTTCCTACTGGACCTGTTGCATTTATGACCCAACTCCAGAGAAGCGGTAGAAGATGGAGATGGAGTACAGGTGGGATGACTCTCAGCTTCCACCACGTCAGAAATACAGCTTGATTTAATACTTTTCAAGGGCCAGAATAAGAACTGTCCGCTGGTTCACCCGACTGTGATGAGCGATCCAAACTCCCTTCACATACAAACCACCCTAACAACTCTAACTCTGAGGTCTGGTTCACCGGTTGAACGAACCAGAAGATAAAACCTAATCACTGCCCGTCAACTAACTCTGCTGCAGAGATTCAAACGACTCAAACCAAATCCCAACTAAACAACTGAAAGCTCTCCCATTTCTCATCCAACTACGATATCTCATTTCCAGTTCAGTGAGTGTGGAATTCCAGTGCACCTCTGGGTGCTCAGCTCTCCTCCCATTTCTCTCGCACTCCACGGCTCAGTTACCACAACATCTCCCCGCTTTCCACTTCTGCGGGAGGAGATGGATCCTCTCTGACAGCGGTAACAAATCCACCGTACTTCTACTATTGATGAAAAGCCTTAAAGGCATTATTACTCTGTCTTTACTTGGCTGAAGAGATGAGTGAGCTGATACTTTGAAAAGTGGCAGGAGAAAAACAACAATATCCCACAGCGCATTAATCAACACATAAACGCTGTAACCGCAGAGAAACTACCTTAATGACTAAAGTTATTGACAAAAACTGAATAATAAACGACTCTGTGTGCTCATTAATAACTCTGAGTGGTTACGCCAGGCTGGCTGCATGTTTCAGAGGGAGAGGGGATGATAAGCGACTCGCTGATTGAAAAACGCACCATGCTCAGATCAGTTGTTTCCTGATGCCTGAATGATCTCAGTTACGTTTTGCTCACTCCTGCCTCCATGAGAGAGCTTCCCTCGGGCTAGGAGGCTAGGCTATTTATAGTAGGCTCATTGTTGTTGCTGTTATGGGACAGTGTGTCCTACTTACACAGGAGCTGATGATACATTAAAGAAAGTGTTGGTGTCACAGCGCGTTGAAAGGAATCATCCCCACGAGACGCCGGTGTGTTGATGCTCTCGAACATCTGGAGGGACGGTTTGACCGGCAGATGTCCCACTCCCAGTCCACGGGAAAAAGCATGATGCAACGCAATGAGATTTGTAAATAAAACCTTCTGAGTGAATGGATGGAAGAAAGAAAACTTCTCTTTGATTAATTTGTTTTTTTTTTAAAGTGTTCAAACTCAATTCTCCCTGAAATGAAAGAAACTGTATCGAACAGAAGGTCAGAGATAAACTCACAGGTTCAGCTTTACAAAAGATCTGTGAAGAACAGAAGGTTCAGACGTGGATTAGTTCAACCGAACACAGAAAACTGACTGAACCCGAGGAGTTAAAGAGGTTTTAATTTGAGCTCCAAGATCGTGAAGAATCCCCGTTAGCTCTTCAAACGACCTCAGTTTGGAAAAAGGTTCATTTAACTTAACTGGACAAAGAAGATAACAGCTAGTTTTAGTTTAATTTATTTATTTTCCACCTGGTGATGACATCAAAGCAACACTGGGTCTTATTAAACATTTTAAGCTGATGCAACTTCATATAAAACATTCCACCTGCAGGCTTATAAATAACCTGATAATCTGGCTGAATAAATAAAATCCTTCATCATATTTATCATAGAGTTGAACTTTATCTAAATTTCTGTGTGAATTAAAACCCAAATAAACTCCAGATAATTTTTTTTTTCAAATAAAAGAGAATTAATCATTGACAAATTAATTTTTGATTTTTCTTAGATAGGTAAATCATCCTTTTTTAGTCATTACTTCTTTAAACTAGTTTTCTCCAGATTATTTGTCTTTTAGATTTTTTTGTTTGTGTGCTGATGATTCTATTTCTGGTTCATTGTTTTTGCAATAACATTTCAAAAGACAAACTCTCCCTCTTTGGGTAAATATTTGTTGGATATAATGTATAGAGTTGACTGATTATAAAGGTGAATAAATTAATTAACCTGTTATTGGTCAGTAAACTGATCTGGTGCCCCAACTGTAACAAGAGCAAATAAATATAATAAAGTGAGCAAACACCAGATTGAATTGCTGTCCTCTTAAGACAACTCCAGCCACAAACCTAAACCAAAGCAGTTCGTGCAAACTTTATTTTATGAAATTTTGCATCACTGTCAGTTTTGCAACAACTGGTTATTGACACAGAATCATATAGGGGTGGACGGGACGACTGCAGTGCAGTTATAAAACAATTAGCAATGCTTCTTTTTATATTAAATGTTCATATTTGAAATTTGATTTAAAATAATTTATGTTGCAATCAAATTAATTTAAAAACAAATCACAACCTTTGTTCCTAGAGCACTGTGCTTAACTGCAAACATGAATAGTGGCAGCTGCAGCTAGCAGTAGCACTAGTGCAGTCTGAGACACTTCCAGCTGTAAAATGATAATTAAAAGGCTTTATAGGAGCATGTGCATGAACAGCTACAACGTCTGAGATTGGAGTTATTTTTAGACAGCAGAAAACTTTGGAAGTGGTCACATGCGAGCTAGCTGTTAGCTCATTAATCTGGTTCAAATTTAACACTTTTTCTCCATCTGAGGTCGCCCAAAGAGCTACGTACAACAGGTTAAATTATATTTTCTCATAATGTTTTCACTGAACCCTACTTTGAAAAAAATCTGAACTATACTTTTAAACTTTCTTGCCCTCTTCTATGCAGCACATCTCCACAAAACTACATTTTCTGCAGGAACTTGGTCACATTTAGATCTCTGTCAACCAGGATCTCTGGTTATTTGAGTTGTTACATGTGGTTCTGACCTCTGGGTCTTTCTGTTGTGATGATTGTACAGGTTGGCTGGAGTTATGGCTCAAATGGACACATTGTTGTGTATATGATATCAGTTTGTCCAGAACATCTGTGTAAATCAGGGTCAATAAAACCTTTCAGGAAACTGAAAGACAGGATTATTTTAGGGCACAGATCTAACAAAGGAACTATCAAAAGCAGGAAAGCAGACACCTCCTCCCTTCTTCTTGGACTTTTTAGAGCTGTCTGCACAGCCACACTGATGAGGAGTGATTAGAACAGACAACGTTTAAACACCTTACTCAGACAGGAAGTCAACAAGCTTAATGAGGTCCAGAGTTCCTTTGTGGAGACGACAGAGAAGGACAACAATCAATGCAGCGCTCTGGTAATCAGACTTCTGAGGCAGAGTCATTTCTTTCTGAAGGACACGAAAAAAACTGCTGATAGTTTGCAAAAAGGCGTCTAAACATCAGTCTGATCATGAGAAAAAAGGTCCTTTGGCTTAATAAAACAAACTTTGTAAAAAACATTCACACGATCATCATCTATAGTCACAAACGGTGATTGCTGCATCAATCTGTGGGGAGGGTTCTGTTTCTGTGGTTCTGTGTTCTCATTGAGTATTCGGGATCAAAGGACGGAAAGCAGAATAAAAACACGAAGCGACCTTGAGTGAAAACCTCAGAAGTGCTCGCAAACTCAGCCAGAGGGGAGAGTTCACATTTTAACGGACCGAAAATTCACAGAAAACTCGACAACGTGAGAAAAACTGGATTCCTGGTAGCTGGTTCAAGCTTGGAGGATCTGTAGAGAGAGCGGAAAATAACTGATGCCTCCGTCCAGCTTGACTGAGTCTGGCTGCAGAGCGGAAGAAAGAAAAGACGTGCCAAGTTTGTCATTCCCAAATCTGCCATCACTCCAGTACAAAGGGAAGTGTGTGAGTATTTATGTAAATTATGTCTTAAATCTTACAAAAGGATAGCAAATGACTTTTGATAAGAACCATGTATCCCTTCAGGACATTAAAAAACAAAAATTATTTTCAGACAGATCGTATAGACAATTTATAAGGGAGTAGAAACTCTCCCAAAGCATGTTTGTGTTGCGTTTATTTTGAGCATCCTGGGCTTGGATTATCCAACAACTTCAAGCAATTATAAATCACAACAGAAGTCGGCGAGAAAAGTCTAAAAGAATCCATGATTTGCACACGCTAACGTTGAAACAGTCTCTGCAGTGCAGCGATGGTGAGCAAAGCACATAATCAAAGGCTGAATGAACGCTCGCAGGAGTTGACGATCACCTAGGAAACACGGATGAGCGGGTTGATTCCTCCACAAGCCCATTCTCTCTCGCATACACACACACAATAACTAGCTTTAATTGAATGGACCTGGCTTGCCTGTTTAAACACAATTTCTAAATGAGAGTGTTGAGATGTGACAATCATGATGATACTCTCTGGGAGCTCAGGGAAATGACAAAGGATGAGGGAAAAGTAGGAAGTAGAGAGTGCCAGGGATGTGGCCTATTTCACAGAGTGAGTAAACTGAGAAATGAAGCTAGCATTTCCTGAAGAGAAGCTTAACTCCACCACCTTATGTGCCAATATTTGACACAGATCTCAGCTACTACCACGCCACATTTATAGGCAACAACTCCAAATCTTAGTTTTGTACTTCCTGATATTCTAGTAGAGCAGGCTAATCTAACAGCTCTGTACCTGCTGCAGTATCAAGTTGATCCTCTCCACCTCACAGTCAATGAGAAAGCGTTTCTCCTGTCGGCGGTCCATCTCCTCGATGATGCGGCTGTACTCTGTGGGGTCCACCACGTTCCCGACCGAGCGAGCTGTCACCTGCCAGTTATTGGCTACGGCTGACTCCATTATGGCCTGGAGAATTGCAAAACCTAGAAAAGAGGAGAAAGAGCTGCGTCACAGAAGCCGAGCACACGTGCATAAAAAGAACCGTGAGAGTGTTCAGCAATGTTTAATGTCTTATATTGTTAGCAAGTGTGAACAATAAAATACTCTTTTGAGCATTGCTTGCAGACATGATGGAGGCAGAAACAACATTCTGCAACATGGAGCATGGCGAATGGTAAGAGAATACACACAGTCTCCTTTTACCGTAATTTACGGACTATAAGCCGCTAATTTTTTCACACATTTTGAACACTGCGGCTTATACAATGCTGAGGCTAACTTTGGGATTTTTTTTAAATGGGCTAACAAGCTTCATGCCACCAAAACATTTAGCCTCGTCCCACCCGGGCGCTCACAGAGCTGCCCAATACACGTCTCTCTTAGGGGGTGGGTCCTCGTGACTCAATGAGACTACCTGTATAAATACTGGTTAAAAAACAAGACCAATGAAATTACTGAACGGGTCACAGTTGACTCGTTCGATAATGTCAGAAACTTGGATTCATTAGTCCACTAGGGTGGACCATTCACTGGTCAGTAAAAAACATTTACTGTACGTATTTGTGTATGTCACTAGTACATATTTAATTACCGTATTTTTTGGCCTATAAGTTGCAGTTTCTTGCATAATTTACATGCCCTGTGACTCATAGGTCAAAGCGACATATTCATGGATTTTTTTCCCCATATTTATAAACCAATTTTTGGCTGTGATATGACCGTTTTCATTCTTTTTGACAGAATTTTTTTTTGCAGTATCATTTTCAGCCACTAGATGGCAGCAAAGTAGTAGTAGCAATATGGCATGCCGTTTTAGCATGTAATAGGTAAATGTGGCTATAATGACAAATTCAAAAAGGTGCAATACAATAACAACTGGACTTTATTTATTATACTTTTTTTTTCTTGAACTTTTTTTGAATTTACCATGTTCTGGATGACTGAGAATCTTCACCAGCTATTAATGACACAATTGGCTTGCCATAGTCCTCCCACCTTTGTTCTGCTCTCTGCTTGGGCCGACTGTCAAACCAGCTGCACCGGTACTGGTACTTTGACCATTAAAGTGCATTTATTAAGCAAACGTTAGACAGAGACACACCTTTGCTATAATTTTGAGTAGACAAAAAATTGTTTTAGGTGCTTTTCTTGTTAAATTTTGAAGAAACAAACAGCGTTACTCTTTTTTTTTCCTCCCTCTGCACGCTCCCAGAAAACCGAGGCAGCAAATACTTTTGAAATACAGCTGATTTGACTGTTGAAGTCCTTTTGTTAAACAAAAGTTAGACTGAGACACACCTTTACCATAATTTTGAGCAAACAAATAATTGTTTTTAAGCGTTAGTCTTGTTAATTTTTTGTATTGGCCTCCTGTGCACGCTCCCGCGGCCGCCATTTGGCAGCCCATCGATTTTTGGCACACCGGCCCACATTTCCAGGTTGAGGTGTTTTTAAGTCCCCCGACAAAGAAAAACTATTTCAAGTACAAAAAAGTTTTGTCAACTCAATCATCCAGGTAGATAACAAAAAGGTTAAATAGTGGCATCTGGACCTGCTTCTTTAAGTGAAGATACGTTTCATCCTCCATCTAGAGGACTTCGTCAGCCTGCCAACCAAATATGATTGCTGAGGTTGGCTTGAAGCACAGCAGTGAAAACTACCTATGGGACAGATCTGGTTAGCAGGCCGTAGACTGACGAAGTCCTCTGGATGGGGGACAAAACGTTTCTTCACTTAAAGAAACTGGTCCAGATGACACGATTTAACCTTTTTTGTTGTTATTTCAAGTCCAGTACAGCAAGGTCACTTAGAAAGCGAGCAGCAATGTTTTAGTCCAGGCACACAGAAAACTTTTCAAACTAAGCAACACAAACAAAATCCTGCAAACAGGCATTTGCACATTTTATTTTAGCCTATGATTTACTGCTAATGATTCTTCTTCAAGAGGAATCTTAGGGACAAACATTACTAAAAATAAAATTTTCCTCAAGAGTGATGCCACAGATTAAGGTAAAGCTGTGTCACCTCCATAACAAAAAGCAAGGTTACGGTGTGTAATGAGCTGCTGAAGTGAACGTGGCTGCCGTTGCTCCATGCCCGAAAGAAAAATACAAACTCACAAGTCAGAGGATTTACATAAACCACATGTGGCTTACACTAAACTGAAACGATCTGCTAAAGGAGCACAAACTTGCACATTGTGTTTAATTTGCAAAGCTGACTGCGACATGCGATGAACGGGTGTGTGAGGGTGATGAAAGGAAGGAGCTGAGCTGACAGGAGCCTGGCTCAGCCTCGCCACAATGGTGCCGCACACTGAATGGGTTTATTAAAAACACTAAACAGGTATTTTATGACCTACAGCCACGACACGTGATCTTTAACTCAGGTGAACACAGAAAACTTGTAAATATTGACAGCTGCTTATTATCTAAAAAGAATGCCCAAAAGGAGAGCTTTACAGAAAAAAGAATACGGCCGCCATTTTTATTTGTGCCTTCTATCATTTGTGTCCTTGAAACCACAGAAGCAACAGAATCATTTAACATGTTGTTTACAATCACAACAAAAAGAAAATAGATGTAATATCTTTAACTTTTCCTGTTGGGAATTTAAGCCAGAAGGACTCATTATTTGGAGAACTACCATGATGTATTTTTGGAACCAGAGTCTGTGCACTGGGGGGAAACAATTGAAGACTGGGCCTTTGTATATTGGATAGTTGTGAGACAGTTTCCTGTTTTAAGGTATGCTATATTATAAGTTGTGATTTCTAATCACTGTGAAAAATCACATCATGTTGCTGCTGATCTGCTTCATGTTGCTGTGTTCATGCTCATCTGCTCACACAGACTCATGTTCGTGCTGCTGTTTTATGCTTAGTGTATTATTTAGTTGATGTTTTTCTTAGCTCATATCTTAGATCTCCTTGCTGTTTTTCTTTTACATTTTATTGTTGGATGTAACTGGGACCCTGTGTACATAATCTCATTCCACCACATGTACCACATGAGATGCGAACGACAATAAAGAAACTCTGACTCTGACTCTAAATCACAACATTTTCTTGTTGGCCCATTCCTGCAGTTAAAATAGATTTTTATTCAGATGATAGAACCTGAGCGGGTTTTTCTCTGGTCACATGTGCCATAGCACTCATCCTCCTCTACTTGGTGCTTGGAGTTGTCAGCTGTGTTTGACAGCTGAAAAAGGAAATTTGCAAACTCCAATTTTGACTTAAAGGAGAAATGAACTGTTTGAAAATGTTTCCACTAGTCAGAAACACAGGCGGCCATGGTTTGTTCATCAGTGGAGCAACACAAACGTTCTTTTTTTAACACTTTGTAACAAGCTATAAAAGTTAGCGTGTCCATCCATTATCTTTACCCGCTTCTTCCTTTTCGAATCACGGGGATCACTGGTGCCCATATCCAGCAGTTACTATGTGAGAGGCGGGGGACACCCTGGACAGGCCTCAAGTCCATCACAGGGACACATAGAGACAAACACAAACAACCATTCACTCTCTCACTCACACCTAGAGACAATTTAGAGTTACCAATCAGCCTAACGTGCATGTTTTTTTGATTGTGGGAGGAAACCGGGAGTACATGGAGAAAACCCATGCATGCACGGACAAAATGTGCAAACTCCTCCCAGAAAGGCCCCCCAGCAGGGACTCGATTTGGCGACCTTCTCCTTGAGAGGTGGCAGCTCTACCAACAGCACCACTGTGTCGCCCAAGTTAGCATGTCTGGTGAAATAAACAGCTTTCTGTAGTCTTGCTACAACGCAGCTAATTAACTACCGTATTTTTTGGACTATAAGGTGCACCGGATTATAAGGCGCATTAAGCGAAACAAAACATTCAGAGAAGTCAAACTTTATTCAACTCATTCACAATAACTCTCAACATTGTTCAGTTGTAACAAAGAAAATACAAAACAATACACTAACTTTTTCAGTTCATTCCGCTTCAACAAATCCATCAAAGAAAATAAAAATAAATACATTTAAAAAATAAATAATAATAATAAAATTGGTTCGAGGTCAGTAAGCACAACCAGAATTAATACATAAGGTGCACTGGATTATAAGGCTCACTGTTGATTTGTGAGAAAAATTAAAGGATTTTAAGTGCACCTTATAGTCTGAAAAACACAGTAGCTAACATCAGCTTGTCAGGTTCCCAAAGTTTTGTTTGTTTAAATACAAAGCAAAACATTAATAAAAAAAAAGCTGTAATATTTTGCACATTAACCATGTTTCTATTATATCTATAACTACATTTTGTTGTTTTTCTACAAAGCATATTTTGGTGTCGGTCTTTCATATTTATGTACGATCATTGGGAACAAAAATGACTCTTATTATATATATATAATATATATATATATATATATATATATTAAAACAACTAGATAATGTAAAAGATGTTAATATCTTTATTTTAAAGTTTGTAAAACCCTGCTATAACATGTAACTATAGTATTTTTACTTAGCCGTTGCAATTTTATAATAATACAAAACATTTTGCAGAGCAACAAAAGTTAAAGTATTAAAAAAAAAACCTTAATGTAGAAAAACTGGTTGAGAAATAACAGAGTAAAGAAATGTAGATCAGGATATTTTCATTATCTATACTTTTATGGCAGAAGATCCTTAGGAGACTGGTTTTAATGGTAAAAGACCCTCTGCTTCAGGACAGAGCCCATGCATTAATGACTGAACAACAGGTGTAACAGAGTGCTGCTGGCTTTCAGAGAACAGAAAAAACTCCTAATTGCACAAAATATTAGACATTATTCTAGTTGCTGAAAAGATGGTGTGAACAAATGTTTATATAAATGTGCATCAAAGCCCCTCTGATGGAAACAAACATTAAATATAACAAAAGCCCCGTGGTTCTGTCCAGACTGTGATCCAAAGCACTTATACTGAAACTATTTACACTGGCATTTTGTAGAATTATTAAATGTATTTA